TTCCCTTCCGTCCTTCCTCTGAGCTCTCACCTCACCAGCCAATGCGAGGAATAGACCCCACCCAAGGGACCACTCAAAGGCTTTCACTGCATTGCAATTTTAGTTCCAGATATTTCTCTGAAGAGTAGGGCCGGGGATGGGATCACCAAGTAGATCCCACCCCTGGTTCCAGAGAGGCTTCCGCCAGAGCGGGCTTCTGCACCACCAGGGCTTGGCTATACGCACGCTAGTTTGCCAGTGGACACAGCATGTTCTAGATTATCTTGGCAGGAATTCCTGACTACAAGAGTGGCTGTATAGGGAATTTGAGTCACCCTGGGCATCGATGGGTCACCTGTAGCTGACTCTAACACTCATCTTCTAAGAGAGCTTAGGCAAGTTACTTTTCCTTTGAGTTGCTTCACCTGTAAAAGGAAAAAAAAAAAAAAAAAAAATATATATATATATATATATATATATACTGAATAACCTCAAAGCTTAATATAAGAATTTAAAACCTGGAAAGCATCATAAGACTTCTGAAAGGCAAGGAACCCCAAAGCATAAATAAATCACCTTAAAAACAGTGGTCTGAAGTCAAGGTGCTATTCAATGTCAGGAAGGGACAACTGATTCCATGGAGCTGACAAAAACAGTAATGAGCTTTTTGCAGCACTCGCGCAAGATACGGGGGTACGGCTCAGAATTCAGGGCTTGTGCTCAGGAGTAAAACTTCCTGGGCCAGCCTAGCCTTCATCCCTCACCAGCTCTGTGACATTGAGCAAGTGGCACCTCTTAGAGCTTCTGTTTCTTCGCTCATAAGATTGGGGTCACGCCACATGACTCATGGGGTTGCTGGGGGGATCTCACGCCTGACACGGGGTAAATAGTAAACGGTGCTTATTGTGTTACCTTAAATCACAGGTGACCTTTGCAACAATATTCCCCATCCCTATTTTACCAAAGAGGAAACTAATGGCCACAGAAGCACAGGTGCTTGCCCAAAGAAACTCAGCGAGGAATCTTCTTATTTCAAAGCTCATACTACACCACGGTCTCTCACACTACAGTCTACGAGCCGCCTATAAAGAGGGTCCCTGTTCTCCTCCCAAATCGATGAACTTAGACAGCTTCCATTATTGGCAAAGTCACAAATCGAGTTTCAAGCATAATGACTACTACACACAAGCCTAGCCAGGGGCAATAGTATATAGATTTGTTATAAGCTGAAAACATGATCCACTGTCTCCCCTAAAAAGCGGTTTGCAACTTCTAGGCTTCCCCTTGAATTCCTCAGGATAATGAACGCTGTAGAATTGTATATTGTAGATGAAGCCTGAAAACAAAGACATCCCTGGGGAATGCAACAAATTGGAGTGATTTCCTCTGGTTTCTACTCTATAAGGGTCCAATCTCCTGAGCGGGGACTCAGGCAGCCTGAAGGAAAAAGACAAAAATAATCCACACCAGCTGGTCTTAAAAACAGACCCAAGGCTCATAGATAGGCAGATAGACAGATGTATACTTGGTCCTTAAGCCTCAGCTCTCCCGGCATGTTTTGGAGCATTTTGGGGCCTCTTTCAAGCTGAACTTCTTTTTCGTTTTCATCTATGCCCCATGGGACTTGCCCTCACGCCCTGCACTGGCTGAGAGATGACTTTGGTAGAGACGCCTAGGCAGTGTCAAAAGTCTGGGGTGAATTAGATACCACGAGCAGCTCCTACACCTAAGTCCTTGACACCGTGACGTTCTTTAGACTTGAATCCACTACACTCCCTGCCCAGGAAGCAGAACAAAGTACTGACTTGTGTGCCCCTAGGTTACTAACCCCATGGAAGTCCCAAGTTGAACGTATTAGCAGTTCTAACTGAATAAAATGGCACATTCATTTCTTTGTCATTTTTCTCCTCAGCAAATAAAAGTATGCCAATATTAAATTCCCAAGCACTTGCACTGGGGCAGATGAGTGGACTATTTATTATACTAACTAATGTTTACGGACTGCTTTGTCATTGCTTTACCCTCCGTCCTGTTGCTCGGCCCTTACAGCTTCAAGCATCAGTCCTTTCCCTTCACAGTTCAATGAATCTTTTCCTTCCTTCCTTCCTCCCTCCCTTCCTTCCTTCCTTCCTTCCTTCCTTCCTTCCTTCCTTCCTTCCCTCCCTTCCTTCCTTCCCTCCTTCCTCCCTCCCTTCTTCCCTCCCTCCCTCCCTCCCTTTCTTCCTTCCTTCCTCCCTCCCTTCCCTCCCTTCCTTCCTTCCTTCCTTCCTCTCTCTCTTTCATCTTGCTCCATCTCCCAGGCTAGAGTGTAGTGGCACCATCATAGCTCACTGCAGCTTCCAACTCCTGGTCTCAAGTCCATCTTCGCACCTCAGCCTCCTGAGTAGCTAAGACTATGGGTACGCACCACCATGCTTAGCTCACAACAGAATTTTAATGGAATTTTCAAACTGGGAAGGCCCATAGAGAGCACCTTGTCTCGTTTCACAAAAAGAAAATCAAAACCCTGGGAGGTCACAAAGTCACCTTGCACTTTGGATCCCCAGAGAACCGTCTGGAACACGCTGGCACCTGGAAGGACCCACTGCTGGGAAGGCAGTGCCCCCATCAGATACGACTAGGAACGAGCCTGCCCAAGACCAGACTCAGCTAGGGTTGGTTCGGTAGGAGGGGCCTCTCTCTGTGCTCACTTGACACTACCCCTGTCCTCCTGGAAGGCTGGGCACACTGGCCACCCAAAGGGGCAGGGTTTGGCTCATAAAACAGCCGTACTCACTAAGGTTAACCTGGCTGCTACTGGAGCTTCATGAACAGCTCACCGGGGAGACCAAATCCCATCTTTACAGCCACCCGACAAGTAGCGTTAGTTATATGGTATGATTAGAAGGAGCAGGAAGGCTCTCCTCTGGGCCCCAAAATACTTTACTTGTTTTCTGGGTAGTGCCTGAAACCTTTCCATTAGGAAGGAATTTAAAAGTCCTAAGGAGAGTCGAAAATTATCTACTCCTTCTCCCCTAATATGTAAATGAAAAAAATAAAGCCCAGAAAGGTTAAGCACTTCAACCAAGGGCAAACAGCCTAGTCTAGAATTTTCCAAAGCAGCCCGTCTCTGGTATAATAGTCTCACAAGATGTTCTTTGAAAAAAAAATGTTTGAAGATTCTGAAATCAGGTTATTTAGACAATGCTACATTCTCTCTTCTCCTTGTTTAGTCTACTCATTCTCTGTTTAACAGATATCTATTCAGACTCAAAATGAGGAATGCATTTTAGGGATTGGTCTAACCTGGCAAAGCTGAAACTAGCCTGTGATTGTTCAGACTTCAAGGCCAAAAAAAAAGAAAATACACAGCTACCTATGTGGTTACTACTCACGATGCCTTGTTAGAGTGGTAATGCTCTAGAGAGTGAGATATAGTAGCCTGCTTTCAACCAATAACCCTCAGTACCCTAGGTTTATCTAAGGCTTTTTTTCTAAGGAAGAGCACCGGTAAACATATGGCCAAACAGGTAAGCCCAAGCCTGGGGCTACTATCTTCAGAAAATTAGTCTAGATAAGGAGGCTGGAAATTCAATGGGACAACTTGGTGGAAAGAAGAGTCAGAAAGAGGGAGAGTGATGTAAAAGGTGGAAAGTTAGCAAAACCACTCCATGAGATTGGGCAGGAGAATCAATAATCACCCCTGATAGGAAGGAAGCAGACAACAAACACAGCCCCTGCAAATAAGCATCCCCACCACACCCCACCGACCAGACACACCCTCGCTGCAGCTCCCAGAGCAAAACATAACTTTGGATACTAATTCTTTTCTATAGATTTTACGTACCAACTCTCTCTCCCAGGCACTCACGTAAGATCTAGGAAGGAATTTATTTTTCAATAGAATGTGTTTAATTATGAGGAAAGGGTGGCTACCCTATCAATTAAATCATGCTTCAATTAGTACAACTATCATTTGGGTCATTACTTTAAGTGTCCAAGATTTCTACTTAAATAAGGTCACTTTCAATTTGGTAAACACTCCCAAGTCATCACGTTAATTCACAGCCAGTCACCCAAGGAATGCTGAGTAAGTAAACATCATCAAGCATTAGCTAACTAGCCACAAATCCACTTGAGTTTATTAATTTCTCTCTTGGCAGAGAAGCAAGAAAAGGAAGCAAATCATCCGAGACATCCACGCATCATTCATTTAATAAATATTTATTATATACCAGATGCCAGGCCCTATGCTAAGTATGGGTTTCATTATGTTATTAATATTCACGACTGAATTATATATGAATGTTTTAAAAAATGAAATCCTATTTTACCAAAAATATAAATTTCGACTCCTGAGATGCTTTATTTTCATTTCTGCCCAATGTGCCTTCCCCCATGGAGGGTGTGATAACATCCCAGCACTTAAGCTTCCAGGTTCTCCGACTCACCCTCCCTCCCAGACTCCCATCATCTGTCAAGTAGTTAATGAGTATAAACTCTAGAAGCACTAGAGAGGCACTCGCTATGTTAAAAGTCCTAGAGGAATACAAGTAAAAAATAGTTCATATCATTGCACTCAGATTTCTTTAGACATACATTTGGGTTTTGTTGTAAGGGGAGTAGCTTATCCTTGTGCAAAAAGTTTCTTTAAAATACACAGATATATATTCCAAATGCAGAGAGGGATGCATGCAACCCAGGAATAACATTTTGAAAGGCAACCACCTTATCGGAAGAATTCCCTTTGCCTCATGCCAAAGGAATGCCCCCTTTCCCATCTTCTCCTGACAATACCGAAAAAATGGCACCCATCCAAATTCAATACCCGAGAAAAGAACTGACCTCAAGAAAGTCACTTTGCTCATCAGTAAAGAAGGAAGTTGAGCTACAGACTCCCCACGGTCCCTCTAGGGCCTGCAGGTTACAAGGTCCATTCTCACCTAATCCTCTGCTACACCTTGGTGGGGGGCTGGTACAGACACCCCAGGCTGGTACAGACACCTACCAAGCCCCGACTCCCCCAGCGACAGCCAGCTTACCGAGATACACAAAACACCCCCACACCACCCAGAAGGAGAGATGAGGAGTCTCTTTCTTTCCCTCAGCCAGGCAGTGTCCTGAAGCTGCTGACATCACAAAGGTGTCGACCGGCAACCTCATTGTCATGTGGCTCTCCCCTGGCTCCCCTTCACCCGCAAACGCAGGGAAAGGGTGAGACCTTTCACGGCAGCCAAGTGGGCGAGCTTCCAGCAGCAGTCTGGGAGTGAGCGAGCGGCAGAGCCACCGAGCCAGGCAGGCGGCAGGGCATCGGGCCTCCCGTTTCAATTTCTGTTCAGTTCTCCTGTAATGGAAAATTGCCTCGCACAAAGCTAGAGTGTTACAGTCCTTTCCAGCGCCCCTCCCCCGTCCCGCCCTGCCCCCCACCGGCAGCCTTCGGATCAGAGGGACAGCGCCCGCCCGCCCGCAGGAAAGTGGAAGGAGGGTAGTTGTGGCTTCTTACTATGTCCTTTGCTTCAGGCCCTGGCCCTGGGTGGTTACTGTTTTCCTTTGGAATGGGGCTGGTATCAGGGTCAAAGTGTCCAGATAATTGTCTGTGTCAAGCCCAAGAAGTAACCTGCACAGGGCAGCAGTTAACCGAATACCCATCTGACATCCCTCTGGATACCCGGAGGCTGTTCCTGAATGACAACAGAATCACTAGTTTGCCAGCAATGCACCTAGGACTCCTCAGTGACCTTGTTTACTTGGACTGTAAGAACAACCGGATTCGAGAGGTGATGGACTATACCTTCATCGGGGTCTTCAGGCTCATCTACCTTGACCTCAGCTCCAACAACCTAACCTCGGTCGCCCCGTTCAGTTTCTCGGTGCTCAGTAACCTGGTGCAGCTGAACATTGCCAACAACCCTCACCTGCTCTCCCTCCACAAGTTCACCTTTGCCAACGCCACCTCCCTGAGATACCTGGACCTCAGAAACACCGGCTTGCAGACCTTGGACCACGCTGCCTTCCACCACCTCACGGTCCTCGAGACCCTGTATCTGAGTGGAAACCCCTGGATGTGCAACTGCTCTTTCCTGGACTTCGCCATCTTCTTAATAGTGTCCCACATGGAACTCTCAGGTGAGGGCTTGACTGGGTGTGGGGCCGTGGATGGGAGGGAGTAGGAGGAATTGGTTCCAGGAAAGGCGAAGTCAGAGGTGGTCAGGGGAGGAGGAAGGGCTGGGCGAAGCTAAGGAAGAGCATTCTCATTCCTCTGCAGGGCCCATCCTTGGAGGGGCAATGAGGCTCTTTAGAAAAAGCTCTGAAATAGGAATCCAAAGAGCTGGGTTCTGGTCCCAAACTCAGCACTTTACTAGTTGGCTGCCCTCGGCGTAAGTTACCATTTCTCTAAGCCTCAGTTTCCTGATCCATCAAGTGGGGACAATAATATTACCTAACATACAGAGCTGTTGTGTCACAGTGATGTGTGTGGAAATGATCAAGTGCTATCGTTGCAAAGTAACAAATAGGGGTACACAGTATTCTGTTGGCAAACTGTTTGAAGGTGTTTAATTCAGTGCCCGAATTTTTCTAGGATCTTAAAGTCAATGTGGTCATAGGCGGTAGAGGATTCAATAGGAGTGTGAAACACGCAAGGGAAGGTTCGGTGGAGAAGGAGGAGGGGCCGTGAGCCACCTAGACAACGAGAGAGGGAGGAAGGAAGAAGGGAGAAGAAAAGCCTTTGGACAGCTGCTTTGTTTTCAAGTTGCTGAAAACGGCACGAATCCATGGAGAACGGGTCCCAGTGCCCCCTGTGTCGAGCAGGGAGATTCCAATCTCACAGGCAGATTCTCGTGTCTTACCTGGGAGATTCCCAAGCTAGTTGCTACCACTCTACCCCTGTCCCCACGTGGGCCCTCTGCCACGGCCCCGGTGCCTCACCCCCTCTCCGTCTCGGAGACTTCACTGTCCTGTCCTTATCCTCCAAGTCTCCCTCTCCACCCACAGGACTTTCCCCCGGGGAAGCTGGAGCTTCAGAGAAGTGAGAACGCCTCCCAGGAAGCCTAGCGCCCCTGACATAATCTGGCAGAATTGGACTTTGGATAGAAAATCAAGCCCTGTCGAAACCATGCCTTCTCCCCCTTCCCTGGGGTCTGCCTTTGAAAATGTCTGCACAGACCCAGCTTCACAGAAGTCCTGCTGAAGCTTTCACTACGCAGTCCTGCCCCATGTGGCAGCATTCCTAGCCAGAATGACAGACTTCACGGGGAACTGGGGGAAAGGGTGCTGAGTGGTGACAGCAAGTAAAAATGCACCCGCCTGGCCTCCCAGTGGGCCTGTCTTGAGATGTCTTCAGGCAGGGCCGCTAGGGTGAGGCAGGCAGGCTCCTGGGACCCAGCACTGAAGGAGGCACTGAGAGAGCAAGCACGCTGAGCAAGAGTGCCTGAGGCACCTGGCCCTGCTGCCAGAGACTTCAACCTGAGTTGTTAGAATAAATCAAAAAGAACTAACTTTGTCAGACCGCCTTCTTAACAGACCAATTGTAAAAGGACACAGGAGCCATTATTTTGGGCAGGTCACCTTGCCTCCGTACCACCTTCTCTAGGAGCCAGAGATAATATCTTCTTTTCTCCATAACTGGTGCTGGGAGGGTTTCTAGAAAGTTCTCTAAAAGAAGGTCAAGTATTAATCATCCTCATGCATGAACTGTGGTTCCTAAATGGGATTCTCCCTTGTCAGTGTTCTTATAACCGGCCTATGTAAGGATGCTGTCTTCTCTTGCTCCTTTCTCACCATCCGTCCATGTTTCCCTTGAGGAGAGCCCACCAGGTGGCCGTGAGGGACCTCCTACCCCAGCTGGGAAGAGTGAAGTAGCTTGGCTTCTATCCCAGCCCCTAAGCCCACCAGCTCACCTCTCCTTCAATCTCCCTGCATCAGATTTTGCTTGCACAGTTGTGTCCCCTCAGAGTTTTCAGGCTGACCACCTGGGACTCCTTGATTCGTCAGTCCAATCCATGACCGAATAGAATTATAAACCAAGTCTGTCTCACTGCATGTTTTCAAAGATATGCAAAGGAAGTATCTATCTTGTCAAGCTCACAAGCCCCTCATGGATGAATAGTCTGTCTTGTGAGGTAGACAAAGCTCCCACCTACTGCCAGGGGACCCCACACATGCACCCATGACTGCTAATCTGCGTTCATCGCCCTCTGCCATTCGATGGCCCAGAGGAACCCTCCAGTCCACTTCATGCAGAAATACAGTCTCATCGCTCCAGTTCACTATTTTCTCTTGCAAACATGAGCAGGCCCAAGACTGGACATAAGAGTAGTCTATACTTGTACGGAGCTTTGCAGCTGGGGCAGCCGTTTCACATATGCTGTCTCATTTTCTCTGAGTGTCACACCAACCCTTACATTTTTCACTCTCAGCCTGTGCAAAAGGATCAGATTGGTATTTCTAACCCTATCCTTGGATAAGCAGATAGGCTGACTTGCCCAAAATCACACAGCTAGTAAATGGCAAGAAAATGATCTGAACCTCTTGATTTCAAATTTGTGTCTTTTTCTGTGAGACCGTTTATCTCTTAAATCCTCAAATTACATAATAACTATCATCCTATAAGTGAGTTTAGTTATAAATCTAAGCCGTGTTACAAACACACAGCCACAGCATCCAAACTTCAGGTTTATTTTCTATCTGGCTACCACTTGGAACTATTTAGGTAGAGCTTCATTGGATAATAATGCTAACGATCATAAATTCATTATGATATGCCTGCGCTTCCCTTGCAAACCCAGGTTTCATCCTAATCTATCCAAAGTCCAAAGGATGAGTCTAACCTTAGTGTTGCTTTCATTTGGGCCTTATCCAGTCTGGTTCTCTCCTCCCATACACACATACATGCATGCAAACACACATACTTACAAACATGCAGACAAACACACATGCAAACACACATACACACATATACAAACACAAAGGTATACCCACATATATGTGCTGTATGCACACACATACCCACCCACACATTACATACACATAATACATACACATAAATGTACTACAGAGTCACACCCACCCACGTGCACAGACACACACATTCACATAAAGTTGAACACACACAGGGTAAAATTCTCTAGATGCTTCTCTTGCCCTTTAGCCATACCTCAACATAAGGGAAGACATTTATTTCATTTGACTCTCACATGATGATTCAGTCTCTGTTAAGTGGAAGTACCGTCGCTATTGACAAACACTGAGTGAACTCTCAACCTTACACCCACATATTTCTACCATATTTGCCATCAAAATGGTGATCTTTGACTTGTCTTAGAATGGAGCCCAACATCTTTCTCCATGTGTTCACACTTTGGGATATAGGAAGGATTTCTATGAGATAAGATGAGTAACCCTGGTTGTTTGTGCATCAGAATCCAAACACAGATAGGTTCATTTCAGACCCACAGAGATACCGGACCTTACTCAGCACTGGGAAATTTTTGCTGTGGTGCAATATTAAAGGCGGTATGACAATGGAATGTTAGTACATACATCCCCAAAAAGCAAGGCAGTGATGTAGGGACTTCCACACCACCCCTCAGTTCATCCATTCATCTATATAAATATTGACTGGTGGTCTAATATGTCCCAAGCAAGTGCTCATGAAGCTAACTGACCAAGAAGCCCAGGGCTGTGTAAGGAGGCTCGTGTGACTCTGGGTCATCTGTGCCATGTGTATGCCATGATCCAGTCAGGCACAGCAGAACTAAACAGGGCAAGACAAAAGAGGTCAGCATGTGCCTACTGGGGTGGCAGGCACTTGGGACAGCCCCTTGTCCTACAGGTGATGAGAGGGCAGCCACCATGTAGCTCTTCGGTGTAAAGAGCTCAGGTTCTAGAGCGAAACAGACTTGAATTATACTCTTAGCCCTGTCGCTTGCTATCTGTAAGTTATCAGACAAGTTACTTAACCTCTCTGAACTTCAATTTCCTCATCTTTAAGGCAGGGATAATAATAGAACCAACATTCCTAGGGCTGTCATAAAATGAAACGAGAACATTCATGAACTGCCATTAGCGTTAAGCTTGACACACCATAAGCACTCAATAAACACATGGTTGGTAGATGTAGGAAAGGTACAGG